GAGACAGGGTCTCCCTGTAGCCCCAGCTGGCCTGGAACTCATTATGTAGACCAGGCTGGCCTGGAACTCTGAGATCTGCCTGCCTCTGCCTCCCAAGTGCTGGGACTAAAAGCACCACCAAGCCCGGCAAAAGTCAGGTTCATACAAAGGCCTCTCATGTCCCCTGCGGCCCCCCGCCCCACTCCAAACCATGCTTCACTGCCTGCTGTTTCGGCACTGGAGGGTGAGGATCACCACTTGCCAGTCTCCCCCTCCGCAGGGGAAGGTGGCTGCGTTCTCGAGCCTGCTCCAGATCTTTCCGCAGGCACTCACTGTGTCCTGAGTCAGGCCCTTACCCTCTCACTACTGGGCTGTGCCTTCCTCCACAGCTCTTACCCCATCACACATGGCACCAGCTAGGTTATTCCAGCAACTTGTTCCCTGCCCACTCTGTTAGAGTGTGACGCAGAGTTTGGGATCTTCCACTGGGTCGCACTGTCTGGTACACGGTGCACCCACAGAATGCTTGTTAAATACGTGAGTGTCCTGCTGGTTCCTGCTGTCAGCAGAGTCTGTTGGTGACTGCAGAAGGAGGTCCCAAGAAGCAGAATGGTAGAGTGGGCAGATGGGAGCTTATTTCTCTGATTTCCAGAGAAGGCAAGGCTAGACCAAGACAGGTGAAGCCTGCCCCAGATGGCGATGCTGACCAACAGGAGGCTGGGTGGGAAGGAGGGATGGAGGCACAGGCAATGAGGTGGGGCAGAAACTGCCCGTGACCACCAAGTCTGACGCTGGTGGTTTGACTTAATGGGAAAAGGTGACACTGTGTCTGCAGAAAACGACAGCCCCCTTGTTGACTGATGACAACATTCCGGCCTCTCAACCAGAAGTCCTTGAGTTTGAAGGGCTGCTAGCTAGCTGAATGAATTCCCTTAGACAAGAGAGCAGCAGGTGCTATGCCAGGCCTTACAATCACCCACTCAGCAGGCTCCAGCCCTCCAGCGCCTGTTGCCCTGGTAATGAACATGGAGGCTTGTTCCTTCCTCACAGGCCACTTCTATTTTATCCAAGACATGTACAATGCATGTTTCAAAATAGCCTCAGAACACAGTTGGTGATCTGGCCACACGTGGGTCTGAGGGAAAGCCAAATGAGCTGAGAACACCCCAACACACTACCTCATTGTAGACAGAGTGGGTGGCACTTGAAAAAGGAGGATGCTGGAGTTTCAGGAAAAGAGAAGGTTTTCAAGATCACAGAAAAGAACAGGGGACCCCAGGAATGGAACTCGAGTTGCTGGACTCTTTCCTCTACTGCATTGCTTCAGTTAAGACCTGACTGACCTGGATCAGGGCTGCACAGAGCTCACTGTGGTTCCCTGGCACAGCGGGACAGATGTTGACAGAATGTTCTAGACCTGGCATGAACTTTCAGCCTGCTACCTCAAGCCCCAAGGAGGGTAACTCAGAAGTATTCCCTTGCCCTGGCCCTGACTGAGGCCAAGAAAGGAAATCAGGCATGGAAGGTTCTGGAAGCTAAGCCAACAAGATCCCTCTAAAGTTGAGCTTTGAAAGTACAGAAGTAAAGTATGGGAAAACGTGTCTGTTTTTCTGCCTTTAAGTTTCTAATCTTTTTCCTGTGACAAAAATTGTTTTTTCAAAGAGGTATGCCTTTGTTTTAGTGATCAAAGGAGACCCTCGTGACCAGGCGGGGAAGGTCAGAAGAAGGTCCTAGTGGTGTCGTTGCCCGCTCAGCCTCCTGGGCACAAGCTAGGCCCATTGTGGAAGCCAAGGCCCTGTAATTGGCCCAAGGGAGGAGGCAGGAGGGCTGTTTCCTGCTGTAGTTGCCCTCGGTGAGCATTAGAAAACCCAGAGCCGTCCTGAGAGGACAATGTCTGATGCATATTCTGGCCCTCAAAGCAGGTGAATCAGCAAAAGGGGACAGGTGGATCCCGCACCTCAACACATGGAGGGTTGGAGTGGTCAGAGCTGCACCCAAAAGCACACTTGCTGTGTGCCAGGCCATTCTTAACGATTTGTCTCTGTCAACTCGTTTAGTCCTCACAACATTCCAAGAGGCAGGAGTTCGCCTCAGTTACAGACAAGGAAACTACAGCACTGGAAAGTGAGAACAGGTGCCAGGCCACAAAGCAGCCTTGCCGTCCCAAGCAGATGGGGGACCATCACTGTGTGGCAGCTGGGCACTCACTGGCCACAGGGACGCTGGACTAGCAGTAAGAATAGAACCACACCCCAGTCACACTCACCGGTCACGCCCACGGTGGACACGGGGCCCACACGCTGCCCCTCGCGGAGCCCATACAGGTTCATCTTGTACTTCCTTCCAGGCTCCAGGTCCCTCACCGTGGCCTCCCTCTCCTGGCCCCCGACACGCACCACCTGGGGCCGCCCATCCCTGTCCTTGTACTGGACAGTGAAGGAGTCAAACTCGCCCTGGGGGACGGTCCAGGAGAGGCTCAGGGAGTCTGGGGAGGATCCTGTCACTGTCAGCTCTCCCAGGAGCGGTTCCTCAGGGGACTCCGGGGCCTCTGTGCTGGGCTCTGTGGGGCTGGGGGTCTCTTCCTCTGTAGCTGAGAAGGGGACACAGAAGGTGAGGCAGGGTCCCAGCAGATGTCCTTGGGGGTTGGGGAGGAGGGAGAAGCCATGGCTACCAAGGGGTCCTGAGGTCAGTTCAGAGAAGACCGCCTTGGGACCTGGTGGCCCTGCTCAGCTGACAGATAACAAACATATTCACACTTAGATCAGTTGAGGGGACCTGGACAGCTACCAGCAAAGCAAAGGCCTCTATGGACCCTGGCTGGGGAGACAGGGCAGCCCTAGGGAAAGGCGTACAGACTACAGGTTCAGTCAAAGCAGGCTTGGGGTACTGATGAATCCCTAACCACCAATCCCCACTTGCTAGTCACCAGAGGCCTGGAAGGTCACTCCCAGTGGGTCCTACCCTGGGCTCCTACAGTTTACTCACCTGTCACCCCAATGGCAGACACGGGGCCCACGCGCTGGCCACTGTGGATACCATACAGGTTCATCTTGTACTTGTGGTCTGGCTCCAGGCCTGGGATGGTGACCTGGTCCTCGTGTCCTGGCACCCGCACCACCTTTGGATGCCCATCTCCATTTCTGTACTGGACCACGAAGTGGTCAAATTGTCCCTCAGGGATCGTCCAGGACAGGCTCAGGGAATCAGGAGTGGAATCTGTCACAGTCAGCTCCCCCAGGCGAGGCTTCTCAGGGGGCTCTGGGGCCTCTGTGCTAGATTCTGTGGGTCTGGGGGTCTCGTTCACAATGTCCAGTGGGGCTGAAAGAAGAGACAGGGGATACAGTTATTCATGGTGTCTGGCCTGGCTAGTCAACAGGGACACCAAAGCCTCACCATCCAGTCACTGATAGGTCAGGAACATGCTCCTGCTAGGTCCTGTGGGTCCTGCCCACCCACAACAGTCTCTAAGGAAAGCATTGCTGAGGTGGGGCTCCTGTCTAGAGCGGAAGAAAGGTGAGTTCAGGTGGGGCTGGGAGAGCCCTGCTTCTTCCTGGCCAGCTCTGGACTTACAATTCCATTGGCCCCTAACTGCTCAGCAGGGTTACATGAGATTGAGGGACAGGGCATAGGGAAGCCAGCCCTACAGGAGGAACGGGGGCCGGGGGGTGGTGAGGAGGAGGGACAAGAGGAGAGCTGTGGGCAGGGAGGAGGGAGCAAAGGAGGTTACTGACCACGCTGGCCTCAATCTCACAGAGATCTGCCTGCCTCTCTCTCTCAAGTGCTGGGGTTAAAAGCATGCGCCACCATGCCCGGCTCAGTTAATCTTTTATTTTATTTTTATTCTTTTTAGACGAGGTGTCACTATGTGGCCCAGGCTGCCCTGGAACTCACAATCCTGCCTTGGCCTCCAGAGCGCTGAGATTTACAGGCATGCTCCACCACACCTGGCTTGAAGTCAGATATCCTAAACAGCTTGGTGTAGTGTCCTAATCATGATCCTCACTTGACAGAGGGGAGCTGGGCACAGTGAGGTTGAGTGACTGGCACAAGGTCCCATAGGCACCTTGTTGGGAAGCCAACAGTAAGAGCCAGGTAGTTGTTTCCAGAGTGTGCTCCCCAGCAGTATGCTCCCAGCGAGGGCATGGCCCCGGATGGGAGGGTCTGGGGACACAGAGGAACAGGCTAGGACTCAGGGCCTGGCAGGGAGTCAGGAGTGGAGACTAAGAGGTGTGCTTTCTGACTGGGAAGAGCACTGGTACGCTGGTTCCCTGGATCTGCCACCCCTGACCAGAGTGGCCATGTGGTGAGGGTGCAGGCGTGGTGACAGAAGCCCAGCAGTGGCAGCCAGGGCCTGAATAGGGTCTGGAAGGAGCACATTATCAACTAGAATGAGGACATCGTGGCTGAACGGAGGACTCTGTGGAGGACAGTGGGGTAGAAGAGAGGCACAGCTGCTTGGAATGGGGAAGTGGGGTCTGTTCTGCGGAGCTGGAGCTGGATGAGGAGTCCTGGGATGTGGGGACAAGAGCGCCGCAGGGAAGGAGCAAGGCCCAGGCCTGAGCAACCATGGGAAAGAGAAGGTGGTGCTGGGCCAAGTCCTGCTCCAGGTCTGGGGCCAGTAGGGGAGGGAGACAGAGGTGTGTGGCTCTGACTCACCCGTCTTGGCCACCAAAGACACGGGCCCCACACGCTGCCTGCCACGCAGCCCATAGAGGTTCATCTTATACTTCCGGTTGGACTCCAGGCCAGGGATGGTGACCTCATTCTCCTCCCCCGTGATGGGCACCGCCTGAGGCTGCCCCTGTGCATCCTTGTACTGGACCACAAAGGAGTCGAAGGGGCCCTTGGCCACAGTCCAGGACAGGCGCAGAGAGTCTGGGGTCACGCCAGTCACCGTCAGCTCCCCCAGGAGGGGCCGCTCAGGGGACTTGGGGTGAGGTGGTTCTTTCCTCTCTGGGGCTGTAAACAAGAAGAGTGAGCCAGGTGCAGAATGGGCAGCTGGGATGGGCTTTAGGTTTGGACCTGGGGTGGGGGTGGGGTCACTCTATGAGTGAGTGCTGAAACCCTGGGAATTCTGATGTAGCCAGAGTATGACACACCTTCTGGGCCTTGGGGAGCATGCTGAATGGGATGGAAGGGGCCCAGTGTGGGGGAAGCTGGCTGCCCCTCAGTCCGGGAGTGGGGCCAGGATGCTGGAATCAGCCATCTTGCCAGGAGGCCCAGCTGGTTCCTGGCTGAGAGTAAGCGTATAGAAAGTGGGAAGAGGTCACAGGGGGCATAGGTGGCAGCCACTCACCAGTAGTGCCGTCAGCCACGAGGGGGCCGTACCGCTTCTTGTTGGCAATTCCAAACAGAGTGAATCTGTACTTGTGATTGGGGTCTAGGGGGGAGACCACCACTGAGCGCTCGGGCCCCTCCACTGGTACCACAATGGGCCGTCCTTCCTTGTCTCTATATTGAACCATGAAGGAGTCAAACTGGCCCTCAGGGACCGTCCAGAAGACATGCAGTGAGTCTGGGGTAGGGTCTGTCACCCACAGTTCTCCCAGGCGAGGTGGGGTTCCTGGGCTGAGTTCGCTCTGAGGCACTAGGAAGAGGTGGTGGAGAGAAGGGAAGGGTCATAGGAGAAAGGATGTCTTGTGAGGCACAGCCTGCTCACTGTAACTGTATGGAGATTTGTGACAGAGGGAATCCAGGCCAAAAGCCAGCCAGCGCTCTGCCCTGCTGGGTGTTAAGGAGGAGCTTTGCCACTTACAGGAAAGGGTGGCATCTTCTAAGTGGCCTAAAGCACTGTAGGACCTCACTGACTGTTCACAACCAAGGGGCAAGAGGCTCAGAAAGGAGAGGAGGAGCCTAGCCAGCCCTTTCCCTTTCCGTACAGCCAGGGAAATGGCCCCAAGGCACCCTCCATACATCCAGTCTATTGTCTAGCTAGTTTCTCCTCTGAGAGAGAGCAGGATCTTGAGGTGTGCTGGTGTGGGAAAACCTCCAACTTTGGGTCCTCTTCCTTAGGACACTCACTCCCTTGAGGCTCCCCACCATGGCCTGGGCCCCTCCCTCGCTGCCATTTTTCTGTCCCCAACCTGACCGACTTTCTGTGTATATTTCCATCTGTCTTCTTTTCTCTTTGTTCCCAGAAGATTCCAGAAGGCTGTCTGAACCTCCATCACCCCAACCCAGCTCTGTTCTCCACCAGGCAGCGCTCATAGGCCAGCAGTGACCTGGCCTTTGCTGAGTCCTGTGGACACTCGAGAGCCCTTGACTCACTCCTCTGCCCTCTGACTAGACCCGCCACACCCTCCTCTGCAGCATCCTGGACACTAACTACCCTGGTGCTCCTCTACCTCTGCTCCTGCTAGGTGGTGGCCATCCCTGATATCTGGGACCTCCCCCCTGCTCCCCCACATCCTCTCCAGGCCTTCTCTCTGCTCTCCACAGCTATGGGATTGCAGGATAGCCCTGAGGCCCCACCAGGCAACTTCTCTCTGTACCACTCAGGGCTGCTGTAAAGTGTGCCTGCCACTGTTCAGGAGCCCCCTGAGCTCACCTGACTTCAGAAACACTCAGAAGGTGTCTGTCTGAGTCCCACCCTACATGGCTCCCCACCTGCTGTTCCTGCCTGGGGAACAAAATTGGCCCATCCAGAGACCTGGGACTTGCCTAGGCCTCCTGGCTGTCCTTCAGCCCTATGTCCTGTCCCAGCACCACCATCCCAGCCAGGCTGCCATCAGCCATCGGGTCTCACCAACTCTCAACTCACTTGTCTAACATGTCCCTGTAGCAGGCACTGTATTTGTCAGTAACTAATCATGCCACGCTTGTACTCAAAGCCTCTCAGGTCCCTTAGGGTTCCTCAAGTGAGGGCCAAGCCACCCTACACAGCACACAGAGCCCCAGGACCAAGGCCTTCAGTTCCCCATGCTCTCCAGCCACAGGAAAGAGTGACATGGATTATCCTGGAGGCCACCACTTCTGCCTGTGCCTCCTAGGCATCGCACCCCCCATCTCCCTCCCAGCCCGTCTGCCTGCACCTCCTTCCTCAGCCCTCCTCTGTTGCCCAACACTGCTTTCTCTTCAGCAGAGACTCAGCACAGCTGTCCTGGATCATAGACAACCTTCCTGGACCCCAAAAGCTCTGAGATGACCTCCTTCAGGACGGTACAGAGGGTAGTGATGGGGAGGGGCGTCTGCTGTCTGTCACTCACCGATCTTGGCTTCAGCCACCAAAGGGCCATGCCTCTTCTTGCCGACAAGCCCATACAGGACAAATTTATACTTGCGTCCCGGTTCCAGGGATGTGATGGGTGCTGTGCGCTGGGGCCCCTCCACAGGCATCACCTGGGGTCCATCTTTGTCCTTGTACTGGATCATGAAGGAGTCAAATTCCCCCTCGGGGACAGTCCAGTGCAGAAGCAGGGAGTCAGAGGTCAGGCCTGTCACTGTCAGCTCACCTAGGCGAGGCGGGACTGACGGCTTCCCAGGCTGATTCTCAGTCCTGTCTGGGGTTTGGGAGACAAAGCAAAGCATGTTGGACCAACCGTTAGCTTTCTCCCTAGCTCCTACCCTCTCCTCTGTCACTCCACCTAGACACCTCCATTCCCTGCCCCTCAGCCCTCCCAGGAAGAGGGCATTTCCTCTGCCTTTCTGTTGCCACCTCCCCACTGCTGCTTCAGAGCAGTCCGCAGGCTTCTCGGCCTCCAGCCACTCTTGCCCCTGCCATCCTCTCCCAGTGGACATCTTCTTCTAGAATTGGACCAAGAGTCAGCTACCCTCATTCCACAAAGTGGACCAAGAAGGGAATGAGAATCAGAAACCCCAGAACCTGTTCTGCTTCTACAAATGTCACCCATCTCCAGTGTCTGGATGGCAATAGAGCCCACACACAACCGAAGGAGACTCCATCCCCAGCAAAATCTGGCTGATGGGCTCACAGGCGCCAGATCCCCAGGGTGGCGGTACTGGGGGTTGAGGGCCAGTGTTGGAGCCAGAGGCCTTTCCAAGTCCACCTTGGGTTCTACAGCCCAGGGAAGAGCAGAGGGGCATCCAGGAAGTGGGGCAGGCAGACAGACATACAGCAGGGCTACAGCCACCCTCTCATAGTTCCTAGCCCAACCTCAACTTCCTCTAATGGCGTTATCATCATTATGACATCCCTCCTCCATCTGCCTTCCTTCTGAACCCACAAATCTTTCTCTCCTCTATTTCTTCCTATCCTCCAGTCAGGTCTGCCTCTCACTGGCCTCTTAAATTTGGTCCCACCTCTGGTGTCCTGAGATGGCCCCAGCTCCTCCCCCTGTCTCAGGACAGTGGTCTGAGCACAGTCCAGTATATACCCATAATGCCTTGGTAGGTGATGGGAAAAGAGGGCTTGCCCCCAGGGGTGATCCCATGGAGGAACAGTGTGTAGGGGGCTCCGGGAGGGGGCGGGGGCACCAGAGCTTGTCGGACATCTCCCGGCAGCAGTTCCTCATGCGTCTGCGGCCCCTTGGCCACCAGCAGGCGCAGCTGGAAGTGGGCAAAGGTGTCGGGCTGGGCAGTCCAGGCCACTTGGAGGCGCCCTGTCTTGTCTCTGCCCAGCACCTTCAACTCTCCCAGCTCCTGCGGGTGGTGCTCCAGGATCAGGATAGGGGCCTGGGCCCCTTGGGTCGTGGAGGGGCCTGAGGGAGGAGGCTCATCAGTAGCCTCCAAGAGGCCAGAGGGTAAGGACCCTGGGAAGAGGCGGAGCAGAGCGAGAGAAACAGGAGAGGGAGTATGAGAGCAGGAAAGGACCTCCAGCCCCGGTGCCCTCCAGCCTCTCCACTAGAGAGCTTCCCGCTCTTTCTGCTGCGGCCCTAGAATCTCCTCCCATGCCTGGCCTAGTCCTCCAGATCCCCTCATCCAGCCCAATACAGAGCAGTCAGGCCTGGCTTAGGGCAGGCAATGACACAGTCTGTCATCCCTTCCTGCTTGAGGCTTCCATGACCTCATGCCCCCTCCCAAATTTCATGTTCCTCCCCACTCCTGACCCTCCACCGCCCCCCACTGGTGGTGCTCTGCCTTCCATTAGTGCTGCAGTGAGAAGCCTGGAAGAAAGGGATGGTGGTGTTAGGGAGGAAGAGGGCGGTTGACAGTAGGAGAGACTCAAGAGAGGCTGTGGGGGTGGACGTCCAGCTCCGGTGGCATCTGGGCCCTATGGAGGAAGAAGAGGTCCACTCCCACCCTGCAGTCACAAAGCACCCTGCCCCCAGGGCTGGGCATCCGTCCTGTAGGAGAGACCAGCTGGAGGGGAGCCCAGTGTGGAAAAGCAGTTCAGGAAGCAGTGGTTTCACTCCCCACATCCACTTGCCGCCTGATGGCTTAAGGTCACCCTCGAGCAGTTCTGATGTGTCGCTTCAAGGTCAAAGCTAAATTGTGGGAAATAACCACAGACCACAGGTCTCAGCTGCCCTCACCACAGTGAGTCAGACTGGGAATCCCTGGTTTCAATCCCACCCCTGAAACTGCTGGGTGGATCTCTGCAGACGCCACAGGGAGGCCACCTGGGTGCCTTGTACTGCCTGCATCAGGGGTGTCCAACTGCAGGTCTGTGTGGCCTAGGATAGGTATTGGCAGTCCTGCACAAAGCTGTAGACTTGCCGAAAACATGGTGTGTGTGTGTGTGTGTGTGTGTGTGTGTGTGTGTGTGTGTGCGCGCGCGCGCGCGCGCATGTGTATTTTGCAACTGGATTGCAAGGTTTTTGAATGTGCTCTTTGCAGATAAAGTCATGTCACAATGGCAAATGGCTGTAACAGCCATTGTCAAAGAGTCTCCAGACCCCAGGTGGGCACCAGAGGGCTCCAAAGACCAGGTCTGCTTGGCTTTGAGTGGCCACAGGAGGATGTCAGGACCCTGGGATAGGGTAGCTGTCAGCGACACTGGAGGGGGTGCTTTGTGAGGAAGTCTCCTGCAGCCTGGGCCAGGAAGGGTCTGAAGGGTGGTGGTGAGGGGTGGAGGTCTAAGCAGCCAGGCAGTGAGGGGCACAGCTCGGGGCTGCAACCTCCAAGGCAGGTGATGCTGGACAGGGGTTGGGTGGTCCCAGGCCCCAGCCCACACTACCTGTGGTGGTGATGAAGGCGTAGGACTTGGAAGTCTGCCCTGCCCTCACCCCGTGGACCTCCACGTGGTAAGTGGTGCCAGGCCTGAGGTTGGGCAAGCGGACGGTGCGCTCTGTGCCATCCACGGTCAGCTCCCCGATGGGACCCTCGGCGGGTGGCAGTGGCCGCCAGCGCAGCACTACACGCTCGAATTGGCCCCGGAGCCCATCGAGGGACAGAAGCAGCGCGCCGTCGGCTGCACTTCCCAGCACCTCTGGCTTTGGGTGTCGGGACGCGGTCACCGGGTTTGCGCCGCCGGCGGGCATTGGGCCTACGTCGCCCTGGTCCGAGTCCCGCTTCCTGGTGCCCGGGGCTGGACTGGCGGTAGGGTGGGGGCGACGCGGCTTGGGTGCCGGGGGCCCCGCGGTCCGATGGCGCCGCAGGAACTCATGGATGTGGCGCGCCACCGATGCGTAGGTCTGGTTGGCCCGCAGCGGGTAGCCGTGAGCTCGCAGGTAGCGCTCCAGGTCCTGCACAGTGCCGCGGAAGCGACCCAGCTCCGCGGTCAGGTTGCCCCACGGCCGTCGGGGAGGCTGGGGCAGGCTGGGCCGGGGCCGCCACTCCTCCACCTCTGGGGGCCGCGAGGGCCGGGAGGGCCTTGGAGGCCGGGGACGGGGGCTGGGGGGTGGGACTTGGGGGCGCACCTCCGAGTAACTGTAGTGGCCTGGTGCTGCCGAGTGAGAAAGGGGGGAGGGGGGAGCAGGTCAGTGTCAACTCCCCCACCCTGTGCTCCTTCCACCGTGGCTCCCCCACCCCCCACCTGAGCCGAGGCCTCTTCCCTGAGCCCCAGCCCCACCTAGAAAAAGAACCAGGGCAGTAAGTCAGTGTCCCAGGAGCCCCACCCGGACCCTTGCCCTCCAGGCCCAGCTACTGTTGGTGCCCTAGAAAGAAGAGAAGTCAGCAGGCCCAGCTGTGAATTGGAGAGAACAGAAGAAAATGTGCGCTACCGGTAAGAGGGCATCCTCCTGTCACAGGAAAAGGAAAGAAAGATCAGGGCATCTGTTAAGAAACCTTGAGGGCGGGTGGAAGATTACTGCCGAGAGACCCAGCCCCAGGTAGTCCCAGCCCTAACAGAAGCAGGGTGTTGATCTTTGATCAGCCTAGTTCAGGTCCTCCATAAGATCAGACTGACCACTATCTCTGTACTTGAATTATAAGAACCACCTGCTCAGCCTGGCCTGGTGGCCCTCTCCTTCAATCCCAGCATCTGGGAAGCAGAGGCCGGTAGGATCTCTGGATCGAGGCCAGCCCGGTTTCTATGGTGAGTTCCAGGCCAGTTGCTGCTCTGGGAGGATCAGCTGGCTTCTGTTTGCTGCTTTTCTTTCCTTGGACCAGCTCTTGACACAGTCTAACCTGCAGGTTTCCTACAGGGCTCCAGGCATCTGAGGGCTGGGTCTCCCCACTACCCTTAGAACAGATGGGCTGCAGCAGGTGTGCTGGGACGGCCGCTTGCCCTTCCAACATGTTCAGTGGAACCTGTGACCCTTCAGCCTGAGCCTGAGGAGAAGGCTCCTAGCCTTGGCAAGTGTGCCCTTCCCTAACTCCTAGATGGCCATACCTGTGTTGGCTCTGACAGATGCAGGGTAGCTGACTGCACGGCCCCTCTCTGCTGTGACGGTCACCACGTATTCCACACCTGGCATCAGGTCAGTCAGCTGAGTCCTGTCTGCTTCAGGGGGAACTTCCAGCCGTACCCTTTGGTTACCAGCACTGACGTAGGACACCACAAATCGGTCCACCTCAGCCTGGGGGCGCAGCCAGCTGAGATCCAGTGTGGTGGGAGTCACACCCACCACTCGGAGGTCCTGGGGACCATCGATCACTAGCAGGGTTAGAGAGAGGAGGTCTCAGGAGCCAGTCAGCTTTGCTCTGCAGGCCCAGCTGCATGCAGATTCCCATGCAGGCCCACCCCATGCAGATTCCCAGTGACCATGTCAAACCCAAGTCTCTACCCAGGCCTTTGCTCCCACGCCCCAGCTCTCACTAGTGGTGATGGTCTTAGAGGTAGGAGGACCCCAGCCAGTCCCTCGAAGAGCACGGACAGTGACTTGGTAGTCCTGACCGGGGGCCAGTCCTCTCTGGTCATAGACTGAGGCAGAGCTGGGCACCCGTGCTGTGAATGGTGGGCTTGTCCCCTCGGTCTGCAAGAGAGTACCAGGATGATCAGGCTGGCACTGTCACCCTCACCGCTCAATCCTCCAGTCTCTGAACAGTTCCCAACAGCTGGGAAGCATGGACAGGAACAGCAGAGACGCCTAGAGCCTCACTCTGGCCAGTGCCTCTCCTCTGCAACTCATACCTATGAACTCACTTAACCATCTTGTAAAAGGGTCTGTCTGTCATGTTCTACAGACGAGGAAACTGAGGCACAGAGAGGACCACATCTTGCAAAGGTGCACACCAAGAACACAGCAGCAAAGACAGGCCAGGCGTAGTGGCATGCACCTTTAATCCCAGCACCTGGGAGGCAGAGGCAGGCAGAGCTCTGTGAGTTCAAGGCCAGCCTGGTCTACACAGAGAGTTCCAGGACAACTGGAGCTACAGGGAGACCCTATCTCAAAAAAGACCACAGAGACTTGAGCTCAGGCAGTTGTGGCCCCCTCTCATGGGGGATCCCTATTCATCTGCCAAAAATCCCACCTGAGCCAGCCCAGGACTCCCTCCACTTTTCCCCTGCCAACCCTGGCTACCTGAGCACCAGCGGCTTCCCCTAACCACATGTCCTTTCAGAACAAATGAGCTAGACCAGCAGGCCTCCCTTCCTCCTCTCAGTGTCTACTCAGAGGGCCCGTGGGCAAGGGCCCTCTTGTGTGTGCCTTGGCTGTCCTTTTAGAACTCTTGTCTCTTCCGAGGGCTAGTAGACCTCTTAAAGCAAGGTCTGCCTGCTCAGAGTTCCACCAGCACATTTTCTGATTGCTGAGTCTATACACGGCATCACACTGGGCACTGGAGACACCAAAATACAAGGCCTTGTATTTTTATCCCTGCCTTCAGGTTGGGTCTAACCTAGCTAAACATAGGCACTGCCCCCGAATCCCTATGTGTGATAAATACTCAGGAGAAAAAAGCCCTTCTCCAGATGTGTGTTTAAGGTTGTAGATTATATATGGTGGCCCTGCAGACGCCAAGTAGGGTCTCCTAGAGTGCCAGCTGCTTCAGAGGTGAGAAGGCTGCACATCTGTGAGCACTCTAACAGCCCTGTATTTTGCAGGGCTGCCCAGCTAGGACAGCCGCTAAGGACGGTCTGTTCTACTTAGCTATGTTGGCCGTGGTGGGGACACCTCTATTCAGCCAAGTGGGATTGGAAATTTCAAAAGGTCCTAAACCAAGAAAGCATAGTAAATACCTAAGTACAAAACCAGATGAGAAGTTACGTGAAGAGTTCTGGGTGAGGATCAGATAAAGCTGTGTCACTGTTTTCTGGGTGGAAGGCTTTTCCTGGCCACACACAACCCTGCCCTACTCCTATGTGCCCAGCTCTGAGAGGCCTTGGGGTGGCTTTCATCTGGTACTGTGAAGTCCTCATACGTCACAGAACCTGCCTGTACTCTGTCTCCATCTCTGTCTCCCCCACTCCTCTTATTCCACACACTCCTTGGGTGCGCTCGGATACCTGGTTCTTTCATCAACACAAGCCCATCCGAATTCTCCTCACTTTGGATCAACCTATATATCCTGGTCCCTCCAGTGATGCACTTGGCAGAAATCCCCTAGAAGTCCCAAGTCAGCCTCAACCCATGTTGCCCAGCCCCATCTTGCTGGTCTGAGGCAGGTTTTCTAGCCAGATGCTGGCAGCTGGCACTGCTCTTCGGTAAAGCTTGGCTCCTTCACCCACTGTCCTTGGCAACTGTTGAACTTTATTCTCAGTATCAGCCTCGTGGTCCCAGGTGGAGAGTCCACCTTGGCTGATCTCTGGAGCTGACTTCACCCTCATCTCCTCTTTCAGACGAGGCAAAAGAAAAGCTATTCTGAGACCACAAGGTCTTGTGTCCCAGCACTCAGCATAGCCTATTTCCAGGCTGCAGAGAAGCCCAGCCAAGGAATGCTAGAACCTCCTTCTGATTTAGGGGCTCACGCCCCTCAGGTCTTTCTCTCACATCTCTTAGAAGAGGGGATGGTCTTAGGGCTTGAGGCCCTAAGCATCATCTAGAAGGCTTGTTCCAGCAGGTTCGTGGCCTCACCCCACAGACCTTCTGAATCAGACCTCGGGGTGGAGGCTCCTTAGTGAGGCAGATGCTGAGGTTCCAGGAACACTCAGCACACTTTGATACCCACCAAGTCTCTGATAATGAGGTGTGAAATAGCAGTGGAGGCTAAGAGAGACCTGTTTCTAGAGGTTCTGAGAGAAGTGTTTTTAGAAAGAAGGAGGAAATGAAGGAGAGACAGCCTATAAGGAAGATGGCAAAGCCAGAGAACAAAGAGGCACCCAGTAGACTCTGTATCAGCTGAAAGGGACAGAGGGTAAAAGGCTCAGGCCCAGGGGCCACCACACAGAACACATAAAGCAGGTCTGAGGGCTGGAGCAGGGGCCGAGTACCATCTAAGAAGATGTCTGGGGGCCAGTTAGCGGGAGTCCGTGCAACCTCACAGAGGGCCGGTAATGTGACAGAGGCCCATGCCTAAAGCAGAGGGAGTGGGCTGACGGTGTGCCAGGCCTGGTGCAGACCAGCTTAGTGCCACCCTACTGATGTGAGTGCAAAGCTCAGGGTTTCCGCTGGAAAGCTGCACCCCTCAGCGACACCCAAGGATGGAGTTGTATGTATTAGAAGGAGCCGACTCTGCCCTGAGGCTCAGTTTATCGCTACTGTTTATTTTAATCCTTCTCTTCCCTGAAGGTTCACAGGAAAATTCCTTCTAAAAGTCCCACCCTGTCCAGATTAGAGATATGTAAATACTATACACACAGAACAGAGTGGGAGAAACACTATAAAATCTTAGCGGAGTGCTTGTTTTAACATCAAGCAGCCAAGAATCGTTTTTCTCTTCTCTAGTTGCCAAATTCTTGTCTTGTGATTAAATTATGTTTATAGTAAAAAAAAAATTAAACAGAATTAAAATAAAAGCTATCTTGGTTGTGCCACAAAACAGGGATTAGTGCCTCTGTTTGGGCCAGAGGGGGGCGGGGGGTAGGGGGACAGGCCTGGTAGGGATCCATCCCAGGGCAACAATGACAGCCAGCACCTTGGAGCTGTTCCTTCTGTTCCCACACCTTCTGGGGCTTAAGGTCCAGGGAGTGTATTTGTCCGGAGTCTTGCCTGGACTGATGGACAGAAGTCTGGCCTGGCTTACCATTTATGGGATAATGTGGGAAGACAGGAGTTGGAAAAGACAGTTAATTGGGAGCTGGCAATCCGTGACCCCAAAGTCCAATCTGTGCAAATGGCGGTCCCTAACAAGAGGTCACAGGCTTTGTCCTTACTGTACTCCCCGAATGTTCTAAGAGCAAGTTAGAGGGAGGCAGAGAAAGAATGCACTGACGACAGGGGCTGGGAAAACAAGTTCACAGACTCAGAATTATTGCATCGGCCTAGACAGCTTGGCCCAAACTAAGCAAGAAAACATTAAACAGAGCCGAAGGCAAAGGCCTATATATAGACTCCACGGAATGTACAGTCGAATGCGCCTTTTCCTTCCCTTCCTTGGCTTCCTTCTTTCTGTCCTTCCTTTTTTTTTTTTTTTTCCTTGCTTATCCAGTTTCTACATTTTCTGTGTTGGGACTACGTGAGTTTTGTAATAAAAAGATACTTAAAACAAATACAGTCAAAAACTGCCAACAATTTGTGTGACTGCAAGTTACTATATGCCAACTCTGAGAAAATGCCAGTGGGTCTGGTTAGCCAGTGGGGCCCTCTTTGTTCTTCACTTTGGGGAGCACATGCAAAAAGCAGGAGGCCTAGGAACGTGATGAATTCTGAGAATAAAGCACTGGAGGAAGGAGGGAGAGACCAGAGGGCGGCTTTGCCTGGGAACAGATGCTAACATCTCCAAACACTTGAGGCCTGCCGTACAGTACACAGGAAAGCGAGTATATCCCAGACACTGGTGTACACAGCCAGGGCAGATTTAGATTCAGCAACAAGAACTAACAGCAATAGCCACAGTGTACTGGGCGGCCTTAGGAGTAGTGAAAGCACCATCGTGTTCAGGGTATCCCAGTTGCCCTGGACCAACTGCCAATGCCTCTGGGCCTGGTTGGGGCAGGGTAAGACTTTGGGCTTTACAGAAACGGTGAGAACCAAGCACTTGGACTCTGCTGATAGAACTTCCTATATGAAGTGAACCCCTGCCCCTGCCCCAGGGCTGCCCATTCAGTCTCCCCCTGGTACTCCCTCACCATGGGGATGAATTGGATTTCATAGGCATCCACAGGACCAGGAGCCCTGGTCCACTCTGTGCGGACTGTCGTCTCTTCCAGGAGGTGCATCCTCATGTTCTCGACGGCTGGCACCTCTGCCCAGGAGAACGGGACAGAGAAATCAGATTAGCCCAAGGTGGTATCCCCATGGCAAACCCCTCACTTGGGGCCACAGAGAAGCCCAACTTCACTCTCAGTGTTCAAAGGCAAGTGGGGAAAAGCTGGTAGAGGCCCAAAGAAGGCCTGGGTCTCCAACTATGTCTTGAAAACAGAAACTCCTTAAAGGCAGTCTGTTCCCCAGAGATCTAAATGCGGGTCTTTCAGGCTGGCAGGCCCTTATGGTCCTGTAGCCCCTGGTGGGCAGGGCCCCTCTGGCTCACTCTTCTTCCACTCTACAGGGAATGCCATGGATTACTTCCTCCAGGACCCTAGGCCTGAGGCTTAGGTGTCACCACCGCCCCTGGTACCAGAATCCTGGTCCCTGCCCCAACACATTGGAGAAGGCTGCGGACTCACCTTCGCCGCAGTCGTCCCCAGCATAGCCATCTTGGCAGACGCATCTGCCCTGGAGACACTCTCCCCTTCCCTGACAGTCCGCAGGGCACGTTTGGATGGCGCAGTCTGGGCCTCGGAAGCCCTCCACGCACACACACTGGCCTCCCCGGCACAGTTCGCGGGGCCCGCAGCCCCCGGGACAGGCGCTGGCAGGAGGCTCCTCCTGCCCACAGTCCTCGCCGCCGTAGCCCGCGTGGCACACGCACACCCCCTGCACACAGCGCCCACGGCCGCGACAGTCGGCGGGGCAGGTGCGGGTGGCGCAGGCGGGGCCGGTATAGCCAGGGTCACACACGCAGCGCCCGTCCTCGCAGCGGCCGCGCCGGTGGCAGTCGGCCGAGCAGGAGCGGGTGGCGCAGTCCTCTCCCGCGTAGCCCTCCCAGCAGGCGCACACACCATCCTGGCACACGCCCCGCTGGCTGCAGTCGCGTGGGCACCGTCGCACGCCGCAGTCCCCGCCCGAGTAGCCCTCGTCGCACACGCAGAGCCCGTCCAGGCACTGGCCGCGGCCTCGACAGCCTCCGGGACAGCTGCGAACGCCGCAGTCCTCGCCGGTGTAGCCCGCGTCGCACACGCACACACCCTCCTGACAGCGGCCGTGCCCACGGCAGTCCCCGGGGCAGCGCCGGCTCCCGCAGTCCTCGCCGGTGAATCCTGGGTTGCACACGCAGCGGCCGTCCACGCAGCGCCCACGGCCGCGACAGTCTCCGGGGCAGGCGCGCGTGCCACAGTCCCGGCCGGTGTATCCGGGCCAGCACACGCAGCGCCCACTTTCGCAGCGTCCCCGGCCGAGGCAGTCCCCGGGGCAGCTGCGCACGCCGCAGTCCTCGCCTGTGTAGCCGGGGTTGCACACGCACACGCCGTCCTCGCAGCGCCCGCGGCCTCTGCAGTCGCGTGGGCAGGCGCGCGCCCCGCAGTCGGGCCCGGTGTACCCCGGCCAGCACACGCAGCGCCCGTCCTCACAGCGGCCCCGTTGGTGGCAGTTCCCGGGGCAGCTGCGCACGCCGCAGTCCTCGCCGGTGTAGCCGGGGTCACAGATGCATTCTCCGTCCTCGCAGCGGCCCCGGCCCTGGCAGCCGCGTGGGCACGTGCGCGTGCTACAGTCCTCACCCGCGTACCCGGGCCAGCACTCGCAGCGGCCGTCCACGCAGCGCCCTCCTTCGCCGCAGTCCCGGGGGCAGCTCTGCACCCCGCAGTCCTCGCCGGTGTAGCCGGGGTTGCACACGCAGCGTCCGTCCACGCAGCGGCCTCTCTGGTTGCAGCCCCGGGGACAGCTGCGCACCCCGCAGTCCTCGCCGGTGTAGCCGGGGTTGCACACGCAGCGCCCGTCCACGCAGCGGCCTCTCTGGTTGCAGTTCCCAGGGCAGGAGCGCTGGCTGCAGTCGGGGCCCGTGAAGCCCGCGCGGCACACGCACACCCCTTGCACGCAGCGCCCGCGGCCTTGGCAGTCCTCCGGGCAGGAGGGCCAGGCACAACTGGGGCCGCTGTAGCCCTGGAAGCACACGCAGCGTCCTCGGACACAGCGACCCTGATCGTTGCAGTCATCTGGACAGGCCCCCGAGGCCGAGGGCGGGGAAGAGGTGGGCGTCTCCGTGTCGGTGGGGTCTGAGCAGGTGGGTCCACCCCAGCCGGGCTCGCAGGAACAGGCGCAGCGGCTCAGGTCAAACACACCGTGGAGGCTGCAGAGGCTGCGCACGTCTGTCTGGCCTGGAGCAGGAGGGAGAGGGGGACTGAGCCCACAAAGGGCTCCCATGGCAAGGTCCCTCCAGCCTCACTTCAGAAGCCCATTGAGGCTCCCAGTCGCTTAATATACATGGCCTCCTGAGTTCTAAACAAGTGTTTGGGTTGACTTTAGCTAAGCTCCCACCCTGCGCTGCACCCACCACCCCTAGGGACAGGAAACCTCACGTTTTTCCCATTCATATTTTTTTCAAACGTTGTGTGTTTGTGTGCCAGCATGCCATGACTTGTGGTGTGTGTGTGTGTGTGTGTGTGTGTGTGTGTGTGTGTGTAGGTGAGAGCACAGTTTATACGAAATGGGTTCTCCATGTGGGTCCCAGGAATTGAACTCAGGTCATCAGACTTGGCAGCAGGTGGCTTATCTGCTGAGCCATCTCTCTGACCCCTCATATCAAGATTCTTTATGTCACCCTAGCCCGTCTCTCACACTAACCCTCCTCTCCCTCCTCTTGTCTTTCGGGCTCACCTGTGCCAGCCTGGGCAGCAGTAGGGCAGCACCCTCCGGAACAGTGCTCCTTCAGACCCTTCACCAGCTCCTCCAGGATCTCCAGCCGGACCTTCAGGGCCTGTACCTCTGAGGCAGGCACGGGGGGTTCGGTGCCCGGGGGACAGCCACAGCCAGCAGAAGGGGGCAGGTTAATGCGATGCGTGAACACCACCTGCTTTTCCCCTCCTTCCACCGTGTGCTCATAAAGCTGAGAGGAGGGTCTCCCTGCTCCTGCCTCTCCTCTGCGGCCTCCTGGCTGGGGAGGGGGCCGTGGGCCTGGGATCGTCACATTGGACCGTGGAGAGAAGGGGCCTGCTCCGGCTGTGCCCAGTAGCACCAGGAAAGCCAGACTAGAGGTTAGAGCATATTGAGCTGGCATGGTTTACGAGGCTGCAGGGAGAGAGCAAGTGTAGAGCAGATTCAGAAAGGACATAAAACCGGTCCACCCTTCCCCAGAGGATGCCAACAGTACTCCCCGCAACGAACCTACCCAACTCACACGCAGGTGAAAAGCCAACCCTAAAGGATGGCCTCTCTGGGAAGAGCTGGTCTCCACTTCACTTTCTGATGACTGCTTACCCCGTCTCCCTATTTAACTGAGTTCCTCTCCCCAGCCCTATCCCACTCTGGCCTTGTTTGTCCCACAGACACACTAGCCTAAGGGCCTTTGTGCTGTGTGTTCCCTGTGTCTTGGATGTGCTCCTAAAAGCTGGCCTCTTCCAGTTGACCTTAACTCAGATCATCCTTATGTTACACCTGGTCAGAGCATCTTGCCCTGTTCCTCTCAATCAAAGCTGCCTGTCTGTGTTCCTCACAGCGTCCAATGTGGCCTGAGTATCTGTGTCTTTTTGTTCATGAGAACAGAAACCTCATCTGTCCTGGCTCTATTGCATCCCTGCACTTAGCACAGGCCTGTGTTGTATAAATGTGCTGTCCAACACATCTGTGCTGGATGAGATTAACAGGAGAGTAGATAGGCCACAGCCTTCCCCAAGCACTAAGACCGCAGCTCCTCAGCACCCTCCCCAGCTCCCACCCCCATCTGCTGCTTCAGGATTTCTTCCCCTCCTTTCTTTCTCTTTTCTTTTTCCCTTTCTTTCTTTCTTTCTTTCTTTCTTTCTTTCTTTCTTTCTTTCTTTCTTTCTTTCTTTCTTTCTTTCTTTTCCTTCCTTCCTTCCTTCCTTCCTTCCTTCCTTCCTTCCTTTCTTTCTTTCTTTCTTTCTAAATGGGTC